GCTGGTGACTTATCAGCGATAAGCCAACTCCTGCCAGTAGCTAGCCGGGTTCTTTTCGATGAGTTCACTCTTCAGAACACGCCCCCTTCTCCCAGGTGAGAAGAATGCCGGGCTCTCCGCTGACCCGCAGCAGCACCGGTCTGCATGGGACCGAGCTGGAGCAGGAATAGCCACCATGCACCTTCAGGTTAGCCCAGGGGCCAGGGCAGGACTGGAACAGCAGTTTTGACATGCTCCCATGCCCACCCACTGCTAACCCGTGGCACGAGGGCTCAAGGCGGAGGCTGGCTGGCTGGGCTTACAAGCCGAAACATCTGTCAGAAAGCACCTTTGGCCCGCAGCAGCCCCCCACACCTCTTGTGCAGTAACGCCACCTAGCCCCTTCAGCTTTAATCTTAGGCCACAGCGTGGTCCTGCTCTCACCTGATGTTGTCCGGAGCAAGGGGGCAGAGCTGCAGCCACCTGACTAATTTCAGTGCAGTGGCTCCAGTAAAAGTGGCTTCAGGAGCAGTAGCCCTGGTCCCTGCAGTGTCAGTATCCAGCCTGTGCAGCTGCCCGTCTATTGCTCCTGTGCTGGGACGCACTACTTACTAGAGAAGGGGCGCCCATGGGTGAGGTTACCTTGCCCAGCAGAGGCGCCTGGAGACATACACGAGCCCAGAATTCCTCCGGTCGTACCTGTGCCTAAGTGCTGACTCGTGACTGTATTCAAACCCGGGCCCCCTGGCTGAGTGGGCGGAACGACTCCATGACACTGTTATGCGTATAAGAAGCACTCGGGATTTTTTTTCAGGGGAAAAGGCAATACGCTGCGTTTACTGAAGATACAACAATTAACATATGCATTCAATCACACACACACACACACACAAAATCCCGCCAGTCGACGTTATAGTTACCAGTCTAGAGTCCGGATCAATCTAGTGGCCAGCTAGGTGGATCATGGGTAGGGAGGCGCCAGGGTCCTTCAGTCGCAACACGATGCTCTGCGGAAATCGTGGCAGGATGAATCCAAAGTGTCATGGCAAGGCGCCCTGTTTATATAGTGATCTTTTTTTTTTTTAATTGGGACCAATGAGTTTTGCACCATTGTGCTGTGATTAATTGTTGTTTGACGAGTGCTTGTTTTTTTTAATTGTTTTTATTTTTTATGACAGCTATTTTGTTCCTATTGTTAGGTGCCTGTTTATTTTTTAGAGTTGTCAATTTGCCCTTTTCTGACATTTTAATAGGGGCGTGTTGCAGCCTCCTTGAGCCTGGCGTCCGTTTCTGGTTTTTCTCTTGTACATCTGGCTTAGCGATGTCCTTCACACTTCTTTTTTTACACATACCTTCCTTATTTACACACAAAACAGAATTAATTTACACAGAACATTTTAAACCGGAACATCAAGCTGCGATGCACAAGCAAACCATCACAGCATTCTTTTACTTATTTTAAAATGCTAAACCTACAACAAAGCAGTGGCCGTAAAACCTCTGTAGCTGCCTTGAAATCAACCCAGACACCGATTCCGGCTGCTGCGTCTTTACTAAATGGCCCGTTAGGCTGTTCCTTTTTGCTATTTAAAGAGGGTGGCTGGCAGAATATAATTAAATCAGACACCAAGACATTTAATACATGCTACATTCTTCTTTTTTTTTATTTTTTATTTTAAATGATACACAAGTCAAACATAAAATTTTACTACTACAACACAAGGTCTGTACGAGGACAGATGTCCCTGCCGGCGACTCCCTGTTAGCCCGCGCTGAGGACAACCTCCCGGGGCCTTCCGGGAGCGACAGTCATGTGGCCTGACTGCAGAAGCGGGCTGCCATATTGAAAGCAAGGACAGGCTGAAGCCAAGGTGTGTGGCTGAACATGCCCTGCCCTGGGGCGTGGTACGAAGCTGTGTTGTGTTGATCCAGGCTGTTTGTGTTGCTACTGGTGCCGTGGCCTTGGAGCTCCAGCCAAGCCTGCGGGTGTTCAGCAGGAGGGCGGGCAGAGCAGCCCATGGAGGGCAGGAAGAAAGCCCCGGGGATCGTCTGTTCATCCGGGTGCCCGCAGACATGGGGGGCCCGCCCCCCAAAGCAGTGCGGGAGGCCTCAAACGGGCCGTGCCTGACGGCTGCACCATCACACGCTGCACCAAGCCTCGATCATTAGCCGATGCATGTGGACAGTGGACCTAGGGGTGACAGTGGACGAGAAGCTGGATATGAGTCAGCAGTGTGCCCTTGTTGCCAAGAAGGCCAATGGCATTTTGGGATGTACAAGTAGGGGCAGAGCGAGCAGATCGAGGGAAGTGATCGTTCCCCTCTATTCGACATTGGTGAGGCCTCATCTGGAGTACTGTGTCCAGTTTTGGGCCCCACACTACAAGAAGGATGTGGATAAATTGGAGAGAGTCCAGCGAAGGGCAACAAAAATTATTAGGGGTCTGGAACACATGACTTATGAGGAGAGGCTGAGGGAACTGGGATTGTTTAGTCTGCAGAAGAGAAGAATGAGGGGGGATTTGATAGCTGCTTTCAACTACCTGAGAGGTGGTTCCAGAGAGGATGGTTCTAGACTATTCTCAGTGGTAGAAGAGGACAGGACAAGGAGTAATGGTCTCAAGTTGCAGTGGGGAGGTTTAGGTTGGATATTAGGAAAAACTTTTTCACTAGGAGGGTGGTGAAACACTGGAATGCGTTACCTAGGGAGGTGGTAGAAGCTCCTTCCTTAGAAGTTTTTAAGGTCAGGCTTGACAAAGCCCTGGCTGGGATGATTTAATTGGGGATTGGTCCTGCTTTGAGCAGGGGGTTGGACTAGATGACCTCCTGAGGGCCCTTCCAACCCTGATATTCTATGATTCTATGACACCGCTCCAGCTCCCCCACAAAAACCAGATTGGGCGTCCCCGGACCCCTCACGCCCTGCCCCAAAGAGCCTCTCTGCACGCAAGCCCATCGGCCGTGTGGGAACGTGCCCTACCTGGCAAGAGAGAAACTGGCTGCAGCCACGAAGTCTACGGCCAACCTTTCAGAGGAGGCATTGAGACCCTGCCCCTATCTGTCGCCAATACAGACCAGCATTGGCCTGCCTGCTCCAGGACACCAAAGTCCTCTAAGTATTATATTGTCCAGAGGCTCAGAAGCCTATTGGCTGTTCTGGGCCCCTGGTCAAAGCAAATACCTCCTTGACCTTTGCAAAACCAATATCCTTGCCATGGCTGTGGCAGCTGGTTTGCGGCAGCCAGTGCTGAGCCCAGCGAGTGGCATCTCCTGGTGTCCAGCGGTTCCCCCCACCTGCTGGCCATAGGCTCACACACAGACTGCAAGCTCTCCAGGGAGGGGAATGGCTCTCTGCTAGCCAAACATCCAGAGCCGAGCACAATGGGGCCCTGGCCTCTAGAAACTCCTGTGAATCTAATACTAATAAATACCAGTATGAGGCAGCTACTCGGGGGGTGCTGCAGGTGAGGGAGAGTAAGAGGGCATCAATAGCGGAATAAGGGCTAGGGAGTGGGAGGTTTGGGGTCATGGGGAAAGGGATGGAAGCTGTCCTAAGTGAGAGGCAGCGTGATCTAGTGTTTAAAGCACTGGGTTGGGAGGCTTGGGTTCTATTCTTGAGTCTCCCAAAGTTCTGCCTCTGGTAAGTCACAGCCCCCGCTTGGTGCCTCAGTTTCCTCATCTGTAAAATGGGGCTAACGTGACTGACCTCCTTTGTAAAGCACTAAGTGCTATTGCTGAAAAACACCAGCGAATAGTAATCCTTAGCGCGTCACTGGAAAAGTTGGCACTCGCTGTGCTGGATGATTGGGTGGGCTAAGAGAATGGGCACCAGGGGCAGCCCAGGTGGCAATCCGGGAAAGGGCACACAGCGCACGGGGTGCCCAGTAGAGTGCAGGGTGTTTTGGGAGGGGGTTACAATGCAGGGGAACGAGAGCAGGGAGCCCGAAGGAGAAGCCGCGTGAATGAGTCATTCTAGTAAAACCCTTGGCACTGGCCCATGTGAGCAATTCCACCTTAAGAGGTGCCCGGCTGGGCCCTGCCCCACCCCCGGCAGCAGGCAGGTTGGGCCAGGACTGGGTGTGAAGCTGGCTCTTTGGTGGATGAGCTGGCTGGGTCCTCAGGCTCTGTTCCTTGCTTGGTTACTCTCCCAGTCGGCACAGAGCAGGGGGCAGGCTGGGCGGGAACGATGGCTGGCACCCAGCAGCTGGGGCAGGACGTTCAGGGGTGACAGAGCCACGGGCAAACCAGGACGCGGACCGATTCTGGGGAAGGGGGGGGGCAGGTGCATGGATCTGCCCAGAGGAGAGGTACCAGGTTATGGCCCATGCTGGGAACCTCCGACCTGCCTCCATGTGCTGCCTGCCTCGTCCTCCTCCTCCAGCTCTCTCCATCTTCCCTCCTTTGGCCTAATCTCCTTCCCCCTGTACCTTACCTCTCTGTTTTAGTTTCCCTTCCAGCAGTACCACCAACCGCCCCCCGTGAGATCCACCCCTGCCAAAGTAAGTCCTGCCTTCCTCCGGGGCAGGAGAACGAAGCCACACTACAAATGGCCTTGGGCCACCAGAAGAGGGCAAGAGCTCAGCAGAAGTTACCATCCATCATGTGGACGGACTTGGTGTTCCACCCCGCCCCATGCCAGCTGCAGCTGGAAGGTACGGCTCAGGTATATCCCCCATCCCCGGCAAGCCTGAATGATTCCAAAGGACCTTACAGGTAAAGAGAGAGAGTGTGTAGAGTCTGAAATGCAGCCTCCTCTGGGGGGGACACTGTAGCTGTTTAACAGCTGCACAGCTATGGCATAGCACAGGGAAGCGAAGAAGAGCATTGCATCCACCTCAAGGCGTGGCGGGGGGGTGGGGGGCTAGGCAGCTGCTGGAGGTGCCAGCTGAAGCCAGGCTCTGCTCCCATCTGGGTGTGATGTCGGGGCACGGACACAGCTGAGATTAACAGGGAGCAGGCAGCGCCTTCCCTGGGCCCTGGCACTGGCACTGGCACTTCTGAGAGGAGGGATCTAAAAATAATCCACCCAAATTGCTTCCTTTGGGGGGAGCCTGGGCAGAGATGGGCAATGCTCAGCGTTCCTCTTTCGTTCCAGACCGCCCACTGGTGAAGGCAAGAGAGGCCTGGAGGGCGGCTGGGCCCCCGGGGCAGGCGGCAGACCCCTCGGGTAGGGGGCACAGAACAGGCAGGTGGAAGGAGAGAAAGAAGCTGGCTCCTCGGGCCACGGCCCCCATCCTTGAACACGGGCGAGGAGGAACAGGGTCTTCTCCAACCAGCCGCAGCACTTCAAAGCCCCCGGCAGAGGCCCTGTCCGCGCCCCAGGTGCCCAGAGATGCAGCCAACAGGGAGAAGCCCAAGCTCAGGAAGATCTTGGTCGACCTTCGCCCCGTGCTGGAGGCCGTTACGGAGCCCTGGGACTCTTGGGAGGGGCGTTCAGAGACGAGGAGCGCCCGTCGTGCTGGGTGCTCTCCCCGGGAGCGTGGACGGCCCAGCAGGGGAGGCCGCGCCGGCGGCGGTGGAGCCAGCCCCGTAGAAGATCAGACTCAGCGGGTCACCGCTCTGCCCCCGACAGCGGCCCAGCCCGGAGACAGCGGCCAGGCTGCCGCGGCGCCTGAGCCGCCCCTTGGCCAGGCGCCGGCTCCGAGGGACGGCGCGCTCGCCCGCCGGGCTGCTCCGAGGCGGGAGCCCACGTCTCCAGCGGGCTTCCCGAAGACAAGCCTCCAGCCAGAGCCAGCGGAGCAGCGGCTGCCCCCCGAGTGCAGCAGCTCGGCGGAGATGGTGAGTCCCGGCGTCTGCTCGCTCCTGCGCTCACCGTCCCCAGGCCCCGCCAAGCGAAGCCCCTGCAGCAATGTGCACCAAGCCCAGGCAACGGGATTTCCCACAGGGGATGAACGAAGGGGCATTAGCAGGAGCAGCGGGCGGCTCCCACAACCTCGCCGCCCCCTGCACACGGGATCTGTCTGCTTAGGGGCGTTGGAAGGTGGCCACCATGGGGCCTGAGCCTGCAGTGAGTCCATGCAGGGGCGGAGTGGGGGTGCACGTCTTACAGGCACGGGGCGGCCTCACTCCTCCCTCTCTCTTTCTCACCCAGGCTGGAGCGGGCGGCCTGCTGAGGCCAGAGCGCTCCCCAGACATCCAGCTCCCCACGCGCCTGCTCCTGCAGCGACTCCGGGAGACCACGACCAGCAAGAGCCACCAGCTGATCGCTCGGGCTCTGCAGTCTCTGCGCAAGGAGCTGCAGGGCGAAGTGGCTGCCTCGCCCCACGAGTAAGTGAACCCCACGGAGCGCGCCCAGGCTGCTTGGAGACCTGGTTGCAGCTTCGCCCCCGAAAGAGCTTTCGCGCCGACAAGCTAGGTCCCTCCCCACCCCCCCGGGGCGCCTTCCCGGACTCGCCCTGCACCTGCAGCAGGGCGCTTGGGGACGTGTCAGTCGAGGCCTTTGGGGGTGGTGGGACACAGCTAGACGTGCCGGGGGGACTTTGGTGACGTGCAGGGGCGACCGTCTTGCGTTGTGAGGCCTCAGCCGAACCCCCGCAGAGTGCACGGAGCTCAGGCCTGCTGGCTTTGAACCGGACACCTCAGGGATCCTGGAGATGTCACACCCCGCGCTGCCTACCCTCAGCCAGCCCCCTGCCGCTTGACATGCTCAGCGCCCCAGATCTTGCATCTCGGCTCGGGCCAGGAGCCCTTGCTAGGGGAGGCGGAACAGAAGGGGGACGAGAAACTGAGAACACAGGGCTGGGGCTCAGGGAAGACTTCAAGCAGCCAGTGCCAGTAACCCTCTGCCCTTCCTTCCATCCAGGGATCACAGAGGGCTTTGCAGACACTCAGCTAAGCCTCACCCCCCTGAGAGTAGCTATCGCCAGACCCAGTTTACTGAGGGGGGACGGGACTTGCCTGAGCTCACTCAGCAAGTCTAGACCAGGAATAGAACCCAGGAGTCCTGGCTCCTTGCCCCCGTGCTACTCACAAGTCCCCAAATTGTGATTGCCCAGAGAACTGCATGCAAGCCCTAAGTGGGGTCTCCTGCATGGGCACGGGGAGAGGGGCTCCCTGTCTCCCTTACCCTGAGCACCAGAGTGCTCCCGTGAGGAGATAATACACAGCTGGGGGGTGGGGGGCAAGACGAGGACCAGGCTCCCATCCCAGCACCAAGGGGCAGAGCCCAGCTAGCTGTCTCCTTGCAGAGGGGAGAGGTGGCGTTTGCTCCGGGAGCCTGCGCTGAACAGGAGGGATGATGCCAGGAGGAGGAACAGGAAGGCCGTGGGGCTGCATCCTGCAGCTGCAGAGAGGAGACTGGTGAAGCTCACCTGGAGGACAGGCAGGTGAGCCACGGGGAGAACCTCGGGGGGTGTCTTGCTTCTTGGCCATGCTGGCTCACGCGGGTCCTCCAAGCCACCCTCCTTCCAGCGGGTGGGGGGGGGGGAGGAGGAGATGTTCTGCTTCCCTCAGCTCTGCAGGGATCCACAAGAGCTCCCCACCTCCATGTACCCCTCCTCCTACCCCTGCAGACCACGGCAGCCTGAGATTCTGAATCCCTTAACCGGGCCAGGGAGCTGGGAGCTGGAGAAGGAACATGAGGGGAGGGAACCTGCCTTCTGCAGGTCCCAGAGTAAGGCGAGGCAGAGGGATCCCACCCTGGCTGGCAGGGCAGGTGCGTGCCAGCAGGTCCCAACACACTTCAGCTTTCCCAAATACCACAAGGGCACGATGCATCCAGAGCACAATGAACCCAGGCCTCTGACATGCCAGCCTAGAGCAGAGCTGTTCTGCCACCGTGGCAGTGAGATCATTGTCCTTTTCAAGCCCACGTAACCGTGTCCTAGGAACCGGACAATCCCGCCTCGGGCTTTCGCAACGCAGGCGGGGCTGTAGCCGCAGTGAGACAGGGAGGGGGCGGTGGGGTTTGGCAAAAGGCCCCTGCAAGAGAATGAGATGGGGCAGAGCCAGCCACCACAGGACATTCCTGCCCTCGGGGGATCTGCCCCCCACCGAGCCCAGTCCAGCCAGAGGATAGGGCCAAAACAAGACAGATTGCATTCCCCGAGCCAGGGGAGCAGTTCCCCGGTGCTTGCACGCCGCCGTCTGTACCATGCAGACACCCCGGCCCTTCGGCCCTTTTCTTAAGGACCGGATCCAGTTAGGAATCGAGTGCTGGTGAAACCCCTGGGGCCCAAAAACACCTCTAGCCCCATCAGCACACACTATCCCCTGCGTCTGTGCTGCCATGAAGGCATCTCCCCCGGGGCTTAGGAGTGGGGCGCCATCCCATGGCCCAGACTGCCACAGGGGCTGGAGGCGTTTTGTGCCAGGGACACTTGCTCACCAGGACCTGGACTAAGGCCTCCAGCTCCCTGTTTCCTCGTTCCTGGCATCTCCTCCCTTTCACCCCTCCTGTTCTCTTCCAGCCCCATTGCCGGCAACACCAGGGAGGCAGCCTGCCCCAAAACCCACCGCTGACAGCCCCAGGACGAGAGCAGCTGGGTCATGCAAACCTGCTCCGTCCCATGTCAAAGCAGCACCGCCCTGCTGGAGGAGAGCCCAGTACAGCCAGCAGCAGAGCCAGAGAAGATCCGGGGGGGCACAGGCCCCTCCGGCCCAGCTCCTGAGCCTCTGGCCAGGGTGAAGGAGCCAGAGGCTCCTGGACCCACGTGGCCAGGAAGACCCCAGCTCTACACCAAGAACTGACCTTCCCCCACTCTGCTGCCAGGCCTGACAGCTGGATTTCTAACTCTGCCTGATTGGTCCTGGCCTTCTTACTCCACCCTGGCCACCGGTGGGATAGCTCAGCCAGGAGTTAACCCCCTGCTTGTCAGGGATCTGTAGCTGGTGGTCCACTTCTGTGCGCCCCCATCCCCCAGTGAGGACAAAGCGGGATGTGTGCGTGACGGGGACCGAAATGCAAAGGCCACCTCTCTGAACCAGAGGAAAAGAAGTCACTTGGTTCCATAGGGTGAATTAACCTGTGGAACTCACTGCAGGTATAGAGAAGAGAATCCAATGGTTAGAGGTGAGGGAACAGTCAGGACTCCTGGGTTCTGTCCCAGTGACCATAGGCAAATCGCTTCTCCTTGTGCCACAATTTGCCCTTGTGCACAATAAAGGGTATTAAACACAGGGCCTGAGGGGTTAATTATTCTCCAAGTACTGAAAACCTGCAGCTAGAAGATGCTAACTTACATTAGGCCCCTATGTACTAGGGCAACAGGTGAGTTAGGAACACTTAGTGGCGGCTAGCACCCGGGAGACTTGGCTGCAAGTCCCAGCTCTCCCTGTGACCTTGGACAAGTGGCTGATGGCCCGATTTGTAACCCTGGCCCTCAGTTCCCAGCTGTGCTATGGGGTTTAAAGCCCTGCCCTCCCTCGCAAGGTGGGTAGTGAGGATAAATATACTCAAGATTGTCAGCTGCTCAGAGACTGTGGAAATGGGGCTGGCTAAGTGCCCTAGACCCACAGAACAGGGGAGGAAAGAGAGAAACGAAGGACGAGCTGGAGAACAAACCCCGACACCCAGATAGAATCATTCCACCCCAGACTGGGGGTTATTGTGTGCGTATATTTAATTCGCTTAGTATTTCACGCAAATCTCCACGGACTCTGCTCTATAAATACCAGAGAACAGACCAGCTACATGAGAGAGCCCAGCCCCAGTGCCCTCAGGGCAGAGCGGATGGGGCATGGGGGCAGGGTCATGCCTCTTTGGGGCCGGGGGCCAGCGTTGTGTGGAGGGGCATCGGCTCAGGTGTTTGTAACAGTCGGCTGGGGCGCGGCGATGCCCTAGCCCGGCCTAACGCCCAGGGCATAAACGCCACAGTAGGTCGTCAGCGGCCACTGCCTGCTTCTCGGACCATTGGGAGAAGAGGCCGGCCATGGCCATGGCAACATGGGCCATTTTAAAAGGGGATAATACAATACTTAGATGGTGGGCGGGGCTGGTGGTGAGAGTGGGCGGAGTCTGTGCTAGGACAGCGCCCGGGGAGAATGCTACATCGTCTTTGGGGACGGGAGGTCATTGCATTGTTAGTGACGGGGCGGACGGACAGAAAAGCAGGCCGCCTCGGAGAGGAGGCGGGCATCAGCTGTTCTCTCCTCCAAAGGAGGACTGGCAGAGTGAGGGCCACTGCCCCTGCCTTGCCAGGGAAGGTGCCAGGGATCAGGGACCAACTCCCACTCAGTGAGACCTTCACCACCGCTCCCACCAGGAGCCAAGATCTGGCCCATGAACAGCCAGGAGGGGAGGTAGCTGGGGAGCCTTGGGGTTCACAGACCTCCCCGCCTAGGGACAGCTCAGGCTCCAGGCAGGGGCATAGCAGCTCGGGGCCTCGTGCTGGGAGAGCGACTTGGTCTGAGGAAGGATTAATGCAAAGGGATGTTCCCACGGGAGGCCACCAGTGGACGCAGCATGCTAAGCCCTGGGGCAGGGCGGAAAGGAGGGGCTCACGGCCCCAGCAGCTGAAGGAGTGTTACTGACAGGCTCCCAGCCAAGCCCCTTGGTGGCTGCAGCATGGGGAATGGAGGGAAAATGGAGCGCCCTCCCCAGGAAGAGAGGGGATCCCTGACATCACACGGCTGGCGAGGGCCTTGCAGTCACTGGGGGGTGGGGGGCAGCCCTGCGGCCTGTTCGAACAGCAGCTCACAGCAGAATGCAGTGAAGGGGACCAAGGACCCCGCAGGGTCCAGCCGAGCCTCCCCCTTGGGCGCCCAAGCGGCTGGGTTTAATGCGGGTAAGTCTCTGAGAAAGGCCTCTGGGCCCTACTGTGGGCAGGAAGTGCATGGAGCTGGGCAGGGCAAGGGGTGACATCCACGCCCCTGGCCCACCCAGAACCGGGGCAGGGCGCAGTACAAATACCAAGCGAGAGCTGTGCCTGCAAGGAGCCAGCCACAGGAGCCCGAGGAGGAGAGCCTGACGGGCCCAGCCTGGGATTCAAACTCAGGGCAGAGGTGGGCGTTGGAGCCCTGGGAGTGTGGGAGGCAGATCACACCTCCTGGTTGCCACTTAAGGCATAAGGAGGCTCACCCCACCCCACCCCTTGCTCGCTGGGAGAAGGGGTGACTTCCAGGAAAGCTCCCTGCACCCTAGGGTGGGGGCTTGGCAGGAGCTGCTCCCAGAGGGCACCGTGGAGTCAGGCACTACCCCCTCTGCACTGTTGATTCAGGTTTAGGGGGCTCTGCGTCACTCCCCTGGGGGGACAGCCATGGATGTGGGGTGAGGAGCATCAGCTGGGGGCCTCTGCCCCCTAGGAGCAGTGGGTGTTTTATTGATTCAGCTTTAGGGGTAAGTGGGGCTTTCCCTCCACCCTGCTCCAAGTAGGAGGAGCCCTGGTGCTACGAGGGAAGCCCCCCCCTCTGTATTTTGGCTACACTCCTGGCCGGGGGAGGGTCTCAGACTGCACTCTCCTGGTAGCTGTCGTCCTCCAGGAAGTGGGTGATCCTCTTCCAGGGGTCAGGGGGCTGGGGCTTGGACAGGGGTGCCAAGTCCGGCAGGGGCTCGTCTTCACTTTGGTCCTTGGCGAAATGGACAAACACCTGGCGGGAAAGGGACAAAAGCAAGAGAATCAGGCGGGGTGACAGGCAGGCTGGCCTAGTGGTCACAGCCTGGGGACTCGTGAATGGAGTCGTGTCTGGTTCACCGTAGACCTCCACTCTCCAGGCTGAACCGCATGCTAATGAAGGACTGTGAGAATTGAGAGAGAGAAAAGTTACAGAAAAAGGGAAACAACAGGCCCCGTGGGGCCGGGGGGGGGACTAGTTGGAGGTGCACATTGAAAGTTTGCTGTGGTGCATTTGGGGGACGAAGACGACATCTTGGTATCCTTCCCCGAGGAGGTAAACGCACAGTGAGTTTGCTATGTGACAAGAGGGGGCTCAAGTAGGATCACCTGAAAATGCTGGAGAGAAATTTGGGTGAGAGACACTTCTTTAGACGGGAAGGGAACCAGCTAGCTAAGCGGAGGCTCTAGAAAGCGGGGTAGGATTTTGTGTTCTATGTGACCCTTCGGTTCCAATATTCTTACCCGCTGTCACTCGAATCTCTGCTCTTTGGTCATGCCCTTCGCCTGGTTTCCACTGGAAATACATGGACATGCGGCACATTTGCAGAGCTGCATCCTAGGCCATAGCTAGTGAGCTGGCGTGTGCCGGCTGTGGGAATTCCCAGAGGGTTCGGTGGACGAGGGGCTGGACCCAGCAGGGAATCCTTCAAGGGCTCGGCTGTGCCTATCGCTAAGCTGTACAGAGGTAGTGAGGCCAGTGGGGACAGGGCTGGTGTTACCAGTGGTTGGTGGTTTCAGGGTGCTGACCCACGGCAGGCACAGACAAGTCGCCTCATGCTAAGGGCAGGCGGGGGTGAGGCACCTCACAACGCTGAGATCCCCTGGGGAGCATCCCAGCTGTTGGGAGGACGCTCTGCCAGCTGGCACCTACAGGGTTAAGAGGACAGTCCCTTACGCTCGAAGTAGGGGAAATGTCCATTTATTTGATCCTGGCCCGGTGCTGCCATCCCCAAGGCTGGAGGAGAGGGGCAGAGACCCGGCCCTGGCCTCACCTGGTCCAGCGTAGTTTGGGACACGGAATAGTCCTCGATGCAGTAGGTGCCCCTGTGAGTGGACAAGATGCTGAAGATCTTGGCCAGGGAGCAGCTCCGAGAGGGTAGCTGGTACTGCAGCATGCAATGGTGCCTCTCTTTGAGGACGATGCCGGGGAAGGAGTCCTGGATGAACGTCTCCACGGGCCGCAGGTCCGGCCTGGGGCCCGACACCCGCAGGGTGATCGTGTAGCCATCGCCGAACCTACGGCAAACAGGTGGGCGGGTTTGTTCGCGGACACGCCGGGCGCACGCTGACCGCTGCTCAGAGCGAGGGGGACCGACGGCTCCAGAGAGCGGCTCCAGGGGTTAACGCGGCAGGGAGCTCTCTGAGCTCCAGCCACTGGGGGAGTTACCCCAGCCAGGGAGGGGAGCAGGAGCTTTGGGAGAGGAGAGATCGGGAGCAGCAGGGAATTCCCCGCCCCACACGCGTGCCTCAACCCTGACCCATGGCCCATTCGTTCCCTGGCCACTCCATTCGGAACGCCACCGGGGCCAGTGGCAATGTCGTGCAATCAGGACCATTAGGGGACTGGATCGAGACCCCCAGACTCACTTCAGGGACTGCCAGATAGTGGTAACTGCCACCCCCCCCCCAATGCCCAAGGTGCTGGGACTGCCAGCTCCCTGAGGAGGATTCATTAGGGGGAGCAGAGGGTGGGTTCAGCTCCTTCCTTCCCTGCCTCAGCCTGGCCACTGCTGCAAGGCGGCGCCGGCATGGACATTCCCTCTCCACCCCATCAAGGTCTCTGAAACGTTCCCAGTGCAGCTCGGTCCCTAGCGGGCACTTTGCACCGCACTGGGGTTCCTGGAGAGCCTGGGGAAATTACGCGCAGGAGATGTCTGGCTGGGCAGGGAGACCAACTCGTTACCGGCCGGGCTTCGCAGGCCATGGCTGGGGAGGGATGCGAAGGGGGGGCTGGAGAACGGCAGGATGCCACCAAGTTACCTGCTCTTCAGATGCTGCACGCTCCCCAGGCAGCGGAACCGGCCGTTCACCATGATGGCCATGCGGGTGCACAGGGCTTCGCACTCCTCCATGCTGCCCGGAGGGAAGAGGTGATGGCGTGAGCGCCCCCGACTCGGCAACCCCACACTCCTCCCCTGCCCAACAGCCCCCCATGTTCGCTTCCACTGGGCCCTTCCCCGGGGGTGGGGGGGCAGCATGGGCTAGTGGAGAACGTACTCCCCACCTGAGTGCTGGACCAGGCCCTCAGCTGGGGCAAGTCGTAGCTCCACGGACTTGCAGAGGGCTACAGTTAGCTCATGTTGGCGGGGCGGGTGGCTGTTTACCCCTGCCAGGGAGCGGGAGAGCAGCAGCGCCCCCAGTTGCAAACCCCTGGCTCAGCCACAGATCAGGGGCAGCACTGGCTTCCCTGCCCCTCACCCATGCCTCAGCCCTGCCCCCAACCCTGTGCACGGCACAAAGGGAATTACTGCAAAAGGGCGGATTGACAGCTACTCGCCTGCTGGGGGGGTGGGCTAGTTACTGATGGGGGGAGGGTTGAGGCTTTGTGCAGAGGGAGGGATGCAC